AGAGAGACTTAATTTCTGGTTGTATCATCTCCTCTGATGCAGTTCTTTTTCAAATGATGTCTCAGACATTAAGTATGCTGTCCCCAAACCACTCTCAGTCTGAGGATCTTGAATTTTCTGCTAGCATGTTTCACCTCCTACTTCTTTCAGAGATAAAAAAGGAAAGATGGAAAAGGAAAGCACTCTGTACCATCTTGAATCCTGCCTTCTGGGGCCATGACAGGAAGCAAGTGGGCAGAGGCAGGAAATGTACAAAGCAGACCAAGGCTCAGGCTGTAATTTAATTCATTGATATGGGCATCATTTTGCCCAATCTCAAAGAGCAAATTCCTCCTGTTTGGGCTCTTGGAAGCTGGATGGAGGCTGGAGTGTAGCTTTAAGTCAGGAGATCAGGAGTGTAGCACAGAGCCCCCCACTAACTAGTTGTCTAATCCTTAACAAGTTGCTTTGTCTTTCCAGTCTCATTTTCCTCATCTGTCAAGTCAGATGAAGGTTATGGAATAGATGATCTCTGAAAATCCTTCCAGCTCTACAGTTCTATTCTGGGTCTGTCTGCACCTGCAGTCAGTGATGTGGGGGTAGGAAGGGCACTGGGGAGGGAGGCAATTTCATCAAGAGAATAAAATACTTTCACCTGGAGCAGCCCTGTGTGCTCATGTGCACTGTGCGGTACAGACCCTCAGATTATCCAAATAATTGACTGAGTTCCCTCCTTTCTTTGCCAGTGGACACACAGCTTTAGTTTTTCTGGGAGCAGCAGCTGCTTTTCTGAAATTTCCATCCCAGGGCTTCCGTCCTCCACTGTGTCCTCTCAGAAACCTGTCATGGTTTTTCTGGATGGATGCCCACAGAATTTTAATCCAGTCACACACACACACACACACACACACACACACACACAAGCACGTGCATGTGAACACACACATACACACACACACAAAAGAGAGGAGGAAAGAAAGAAAAAAAGGGACAATTGAAAGAGAGAATAAAAAGTACTATGCATAACAAAAGGTGAAACCAGGTTATGGCATGAGCAGTTCTTATTTAGTTTGGTTACTTCATGGGCTTGGAACCTAAAGGGGMACAGGTTGGCGGCACAGTTTGGCAGTGCAGTGGTACTGCTGACCAGTACTGCTGTGCTGCCAACCTGGAACCATGTCTTCTATTAGTTGACAGGGTTTTCCTAGAAGATGTAGAGGGAAGCCTGTATGCTTTAGGGGTCTCCCTGAGTCCTGACCCCGGTCCTAACATCTCCAGACTCTTGGTAAATTCTGCTTAATCAAACTGGATGTTTTTCTAGAGGTTCCCATTTTTTCCCCTTCCCCAATAAGCATTTGCATTTCCAACATGTATGGAGGGTGCCCTTGTCCCCCAACTTTAAAAGGTACAGTTCTCCAACTTTAACTTACAGGAAAATCACCTCAGGAACCAGTTAGTAAAGCAAATTCTTTAATGCTGCTCTCAGGCATTTAACCAGCAAGTAGGAGATCCAGGAAACTGAATTTTACTCATTCCATATCAGCTTGATGCAGAAGGGTGATAGACTCCTAAGAATGTGGCTAAAAGTAAACAGCATTATCAGAAACAAGAATTTCATGTTTCCACTTCTATTTCACGTTGTCTGGTCACAACCGATGAAATTTGCAGTCTAATACTCATAATTCCTGGCATTAACATTAAAGTCATTGCTCTGTGCATCTTTGGTACAAACCATGAACAGCTGGAAATTTGGAAAACTCAAAGCAGGGGACAGGCTTGGACTTAAAACTAAATAAATAAAAATTTTAAAAATAAAAAGCCCTGAGGAGCTGGCAAAGAAGAGCATGAGTAGTTTTGAGATCAGACAAAGCAGAATTCAAATTTTGCACTTACTAACCCTGTGATTTGGATAACTTATTGATCTCTGAGTGTCCATTCTTTTATCTATAAAACTGGGATATGTAGTTTTTGTATTTGGGGTAAAAATGGGAGTTCATAACTCACTTGAAACTAATGTTTGAAATATGATATGTCAAGAGCTTTGTAAGGTTTTGAACAACCAATAAAAAAAAAAAAAACTGGGATGTGCTATTTCCCGGGGAGGAAGGGACTATGCACCCCAAGTGAGTGCTCAATAAGGAATTCCAACTTATAACAAAGTATGCCACTATTGTCCCTTACAAGGAGGGCAGGGATTTCCAAAACCCAACCTGAAACTTGGGTTTGGGGTCTGGCCACAGTTCGGTCACCACTGCCCACCATGCTTGAGTAGCKCGGAGTCCTTTCTGTAGGTCACTGTTAGCTCCCCAGTTGCCTCCTCCCCACAGACCTAAAAGAAGTGGCAAGTTGGGCTATTTTTATTTAAAAAAAAAAAAAAAACGGGCGCCACAGGTGTCCTCGTGGGATTTTCAGGCAGCAGAGGCCTCCCAGGAAGGGAAACCAGGAGGCCGCAGAGCCGTCCAGCTAGGGACCCGGAGCCACCCGGAGGTGGCCCATTTTGATCCAGGCTGTAGCTGGGTCCTACGCAGTCCGCAGGGCTCCTAAGTGGGGGAGGGGAATCCTACATCCTCCTGCATCCTCCTGGCGTCTGGTGGGTCCCACTTGCACTCCCACCCAGACCCAGTGGCAGGGAAGGGCCCGCGGGCGGGGATTCCGGATTCCCAGCCCCGCCTTCAGGAGCTGCAGGGAACCAGGACCCCCATCCGAGCATCCAGTACCCTCACTGGAGACGCGATAATGGGAGCCCAAACCCCGCGGCCGCACTTGGCAACTGCTCAGTCCTCTGGGGAGTGAAGCCCTGGGGGCCTCCAGGCGCCAACCCGGGGGTTCGAGCGTTACAGGAAGGAACCGGAAAGTTGGCTGCATTTGTCAAAACCCGTCTTCGGAACGCGGCTGCCGCGATGACCCTTCCTCTCGGCTCCCACTGGCCTGCCGGGGGAGAGCCAGCCACCAAAGGCACTTTCCCTCGGGCCGCGGGGCAGGCGTCGGGCCTGGAGCGCAGCGCTGGCGGCGAAGCAGACCGACGGGTCATCAATCCCTGGAGACCTAGGAAACCCGCCGCCCAGTGGAGACCAGCTCCGGATACTCCTCCCGCTGCCCCCAGTAATATGAAGTAAAAGCCCCAGGTCTGCCTGCAGGGCCACAGACGCCCTCCAGAACCGGGCTGAGCGCGGTTCTCCTAAGGGACTGCGGGCTGGGGGAGGGGGGCGCAAACCCCGCTCTGGCCGACCCCTCCCGGCCCGGGGTTTGATGGGGTCCTGAGCGGTGGCGGCGGAGGGAGGGGAGACGGTGGCCGGACGGTGGGGCGGGCGGTGAGCGCCGGAGCCCCTCGGGGCCCGCCACACACACGGCCAGCCCTCCCCGCTCCCTCGCTGCCTCCCACCCGCTCGCCGCGACCCCCGCCCCCAGCCCCCGCCCCTCCCCCGCCCGCCTCCGCCCCATTCTTGGAATTGTGTGGAAAAATTCTCAGCCAAACCTCCCACCTCTCCTCTCCCCCCACCCCCTTTTAAAAGCCCCCTTTCCTCCGCGGCCCCTGCACTCTTTGTGAATGAGGGCAGGGAACACGGCCCTTCCCCCGCCCAGGAGCCACGCCAGACCGCCGCACTCAGAGGACTGTTTGTTAATAGTCCAATTAGATAATTGCCATCTTTCACTCCTTTTGCTCCGCATTTCCCATAAAGGAATGAATGGGGAGAGCGGCGTGGAGAGGGCTTCTGCCCCGGCAAGGTGACGAGAAGGGCTGGAGCATGCTCCTTGCACAAGGCCATGCGCTTGAATTGAATCATTGTAGCCTAATCAATGCTCTTATTGGATTACTGGCTGTTGCTTTTCTCAAAGATATTGTAGCAGAGACAATGAAATAGCTAGGGGAAAACTTTTTTTTTTTTTTTTTTGAAGCAGATCTCACAGTTGAGATTTTCCCTGCTCTCTCTCCCTCTCCCCCTCTCTCTCCTGCTGGACTCTCTGAGCACAAAGCTGCCCTTTGAATGGGCTGTCTCAGGGCTGCTGGAGGTGCAGGCATGAAAAAATCCAACTGGAACTAAATGAAGAGAGGTGGCAGTTTAAGATGGCTGTCAGCGTCGAGGTGTGTTAAGGAGTTGCTTGGGGAGACAGCTTGGCTTTTTTTGAGTGTGGGGGAGATACTTTTTGGGGAAAACTTTCTCTCCTCCCCCGCTCTCCCCACCCAGAGGCAACTGCTTTCTTCTGCTGCTGCAGGGTGTGTGAGGGGTATTTTCCCTCCCCCCTCCACCCTCATTCAGCGCTATCTGGCGAGTGTGGAGAAACCCCCTCTAGCCAGTATGTGAACAGGAGGGTCAAAGGCAAAGGGAAAGTTAATAATGCCTGCTAATGGTACTAACAATTCAGGATGAATCTTGTCAAAAGTTTTTCTGGAAGTGTAGGTCTTTGATTGTGTGTTTCCTGAAAGCAAGACCAATCATTTCCGTTTATTCACTGGCTAAACCCCTACTTGATTGGGGACAAGGACAGAAACCATCCATTACGATCTGATATATTATCCAAACAATTTAGTGTATTCATGAGGTAACCGAAACGTGGGGGCTGCGAAATTACCCGTAATCAATTGCAACAGCGAGTGTGCGTCCCCCCGGGTGTCGGACAACTACAACTCGCCGTCTCAGWAACAGGCGGGAGCCGCAGCATTTCGGAGTTGCGCTGTTCGCTACCTGATCGCCAGGCTGGGGACATTGGACGTGCTCAGAAGACGCGGGCGCTGACGAAGCGGCCTCGCCGCGGCTGCACCGGGATCCTGGACCAGACCCGCCGCCTCTCTGGGAGCGCGCCACTCTTCCGTCGCCGCTGACCCGCCGGCGGCCGCCGAAGCCGCCCCGCGGGGACATTCATTCTTGCCGCTTGCCTCTCTCCAGGCTGAGCTTAGAGGCTGCGTTGTAGGGGTTTTGTCCCCTTCCGCTTTTTTTTTCCCTTTCTCCTTTTTTTCTTTCTTTCTTCGTTTTTTTTTTTTTATCATTCTTTTTTTTCCCCTCTCTCTGTGTGTTTTGCCTATGTTCGGGAAACCAGACAAAATGGACGTCCGGTGCCACTCGGACACCGAGGCCGCCCGGGTCTCGAAGAACACGCATAAGGAGAGCCGCGAGATCAAGGGCGCCGAGGGGAACCTCCCGGCCGCCTTTCTCAAGGAGCCGCAGGGCGCCTTTTCCGCGTCGGGCGCTGCGGAAGATTGTAACAAAAGTAAATCCAATTCCGCAGCGGACCCGGATTACTGCCGCCGGATCCTGGTCCGAGGTAGGGATGGGCAGGRCTGCTGGGCGCGTTCTTTGGGGGCGACTCCAGGCCCCGAGCAGCGCGCCGCCACCGACCACGGCCGGCGGGGAGGGGTTGCTGGCTGGGACTTCGTAGAAAGTTGCTGGCCCTCCCTGCCAGGGTGCGGCCGGCCGCTTGGGACTTGAGCTTGGGGCTCACCAGCGCTCTCTCCAGGGGACTCGGAAGGGCCCCGCCGGCCAGGTTGCCGAGAGAGCCGAGGGGCTGAGCGGACGAGGCCGGCCACCAGGCTGCGGCCTCCGACCTGGGAACTCCGGGAGGATGTGAGCGCGCCCTAAGAGCTGGAGGACCTGCAGAGAGCTGGCCTGCAGGCTCCTGCGCCCTGGCAGGCTGAGCACACCCCAGGGAGCGCGGGCTTCGGCCGGCCAGTTGGCGCGCTGGGCCGAGGGCCTAGGCGCTGCGCTCCGGGCCTGGCCGCCGCTGCCAGGAAAATCGGCCGAGCTGGGTTGCAGGGCTGCGGTTGTCGACTTAGGGCTTGGTTCGGCCTCACTTGGGGCGCAGCGTGCGCTCAGCCCCGGCAGTGGCGGCGGCGAAGCCCGGCCTCGGGCCGGCGCCGCCCCCGCCAGCAGATAGCCAGGCCCCGCGGGCCGGGATTCCCTCCCTCCTCCTTCCGCCGCCCGAACTCGGGAGGGCCAGAGACCCGGGTGGGGGTGGGGACCTCTGGAGCTCTGGAGCGCAGGCTGCTCCACAGCCTGATGCCCGCAGGACCCGGGCTGGTCAGTGAAGGCACCCTCAGGCTACAGGGAACCCGGGTCGCGCAGCCGAGGTCCCCTAGGCCAGAAGGAACATCAGTCTATTTGGAATTGATTTTTTTCCCCTCCCTTGTCTGGAGGGCTCTACATAGACGAAGTCTGGTCCCTCCTCTTGTCAGTGGTGTGGAGTTAGCTCCTTTGCCCCGCATAAACACACGGTGCCTTTGATTCCCGGCTGTGGCCGCACCCTCACCCCCCTGCAGACTACTGGGTACTGTGTCCTCTAGCCAGCTCGGGCTAAGAAGGCGGAAGGAGAGGGGAGGGTTCTTGATGCCTGACATCTCCCCTTCCCCAGATGCCAAGGGGTCCATCCGAGAGATCATCCTGCCGAAAGGCTTGGACCTGGACCGGCCCAAGAGGACACGCACGTCCTTCACGGCGGAGCAGCTCTACCGGCTGGAGATGGAGTTCCAGCGCTGCCAGTATGTGGTGGGCCGCGAGAGGACAGAGCTCGCCCGGCAGCTCAACCTCTCTGAAACCCAGGTACTAGGCAGCCAGGCTGCGCACTGTTCTGCAGCAGGCTCCCTCCCCATCCACCTCCCAGCTTGTTCTTTCCCACTACCCAATTTGACTTTGGACAGAACCTCCCAGGGGAAGTGGAGGAGATGGGCCAATGGAGGAGAAAGGGCAGAGGCTTCCTCTCCTTCTACAAGTCGCCTTTTCCCTCTGCATCCCCAAATCTTGCATACCTTRGACTGGCCCAGGCAGCACCAAATCTTGTCCTTTAGGAATTCTTATTGGTTCCCGGATCCCAGTGTTAAGAATTTGTTTCTTACTTCTACTCTATAAAGATGGACTTTTTGCCTATTTGGGCACTCCATTATTGGCCCGATTTCCAGTCACTGACCACTTTGTGTCAGGGGCTTTACACAACTCTCAAACCCATTTTGCAGAAATTGTGTGCAACTCCCAGAGACCTGCCTGTGCAAATATGTCTGCCCTGGTCCTGTGTTTGTTCTGGACACAGTGATGAAAACCTCTCTGAACTGCTAGGAGGCTCTGCCTGCTGTGCCAGTGGGGTGAGGTATGGGAAGGGTAGCAGATAGATCTAGGGTCAGTCCAGGGAGCTAGCACTGCTGACTGTCTTTAGGTCTTCTTTACATTGAATCCATATGTTGTCCCTGACGCTGGCCTTGTGAATTCTGGGCCTAGAGTCACTGTAGAGTTGAGAGCTTTGTCCTTCAAAGGCCGTTTTGGGGCTGACCAGGCCATGTTACCAGTTTGACCTACTAAGGCAGTCTTCTTTCTGATGACAAGTCCTTTCCCTGTGCTCACCTCTGAAGTAGGTGGGAGCATTTTAGGCCTGGAGTTTTGGAGGAACTCTTGAGGACTGAGGATAGAATAGATGGGATGTTCTTTTAGAGGTTTAATTGGCATGATAACTTATTAATCTAGACAGGGTAGCCTTTCCATATAGCTGCCACATTCTATTCTAGGTAATCACTAGGCCAGAAGAAGGGCAGAAGAAGAGGAAGTGAGCTGGGAGGTTGGAGTAGGGTAGTAGTCTATCTCAGTCTCTGGTCTTCTTCCCATGATTCCAAAGTTCATGATGGAGAGCAACAGGAATGATAGATTAAAAGTAACATGCAGACCTTCCAACTTAGCTGGCAGTGATAGGAAGTGGAGAAAGTTTGGCCTGTGAAATACTTCTTCGCCCAAATTATTTCTCCTAGAGCCCCCTTTCCTGCTTGCTGTTAGTTCTTGGTCAGTTCTTAACCCAAAAGCAGGCTTCACAGCCTTCAACAAGAGTAGCAGTTCTGGAGCTAAATTTGAGCCTTGGGCCAGGGGCCTGGTCCAGGAAGGCCCAAAACACTCCTCCCCATCCTCCTTGCTTCCCACTAGCACTGCATGCCTAAGGCCTCACAGCATTTACCTGAAATTCGGGCTCTCAGGCTGAGCTGATTCACTTGTCTGTGAGCCCCCAATCCTGCTGGGGGTAGGGCGGCAGCCCAGTGAAATCCCTTCTGGTTGTGAACATTTTTATCACTTTGGTTTTTTAAAACGGCCCCGGCCCGGGCCTGCTTCCGTGACCCGGAAGCGCAGCCCAGTAGAGCTCTGTCCCCCTCGTGGTGGCGCCAGCTTCCCCCGCAGCTCGGGTGCCCGGACCTCTGGGGCTTCGGGGTGGGGCTGTGGCTAGGGCTGGGGCAGGGGGAGGGCCCCAGGAGCCCTCGCGCCCCAGGAACCCGCTCCCTTTGACGCTCGTCTTCCTTACTCCTCTCTCCCACCCTCTCTGCGTCCCCGCGCGCAGGTGAAGGTCTGGTTCCAGAACCGGCGCACCAAGCAGAAGAAGGACCAGGGCAAGGACTCGGAGCTGCGCTCGGTGGTATCGGAGACCGCGGCCACGTGCAGCGTACTGCGGCTGCTGGAGCAGGGCCGCCTGCTGTCGCCGCCTGGTCTCCCCGCGCTGCTGCCACCGTGTGCCACGGGCGCTCTCGGATCTGCGCTGCGCGGGCCTAGCTTACCCGCCCTGGGCGCGGGCGCCGCGGCCAGCTCGGCCGCCGCCGCCGCCGCCGCCGCCGCCGCCGCCCCGGGCCCCGCGAGCGCCACATCTCAGCACCCCCCGGCTGTGGGCGGCGCTCCCGGGCCGGGGCCCGCCGGGCCCGGGGGACTGCACGCGGGAGCGCCGGCCGCCGGCCACGGCCTCTTCAGTCTGCCGGTGCCCTCGCTGCTAGGCTCCGTCGCCAGCCGCCTGTCCTCCGCCCCATTGACAATGGCTGGTTCGCTAGCCGGAAATTTGCAAGAACTCTCCGCCCGATATCTGAGCTCCTCGGCCTTCGAGCCTTACTCCCGGACCAACAATAAAGAAGGGGCCGAGAAAAAAGCGCTGGACTGATTTTAAGTGTTTCCCTGTATTTATATTTATAGTATCTATTGTGGTGATTATTTATGGACTCTAGCGCGTTAGGCGCCCAGGGCTCCTGCGCAGGCCTCCTGGCTCCCACCAGGCCTCTGACAGCTCATCTATCCCACGGGCTCTGCGACCAATTTCATCTCACTTAGGCTATTTTCCCCCTCTACCTTTCCTTCCTGTTCCCGCCCCTCAAACTTCTTTCTGAATCCAGGAGTGATCCAAAGAATTGGGGGAAATGCCCGAATTAGCCAACCAATGCCCCGCCCTGGAGGGAAGAGACTGGTTTTCAGTCCATGGCACAGGACACCTGGTCTAGATCGGGCCTCCGAGCGAATTATTCCTATGAATATTTGAAAGAGGAATTCTGCACGCAAATGAAGAAGCTTGCAGGTTTCTTAAGACCAAAAAGGAGGACAACTCCTTCCTCTTGCCAGAGAAATTAGGGCTTTTGGAAGTCCTGGGCCCCACTTTGCAGACCTCTTTGGATAGTCGGTGCACACTCAGCTTCCTGGCGAGACACATCCCGCTGAGTTTTCTCCCCTTTAGGAAAACTCCAATCACGGTCTCCCTTAACCCCAGGAAACAATAAATAGAGCATCATGGTAGGCATGGTGGTAACAAATTTAATCTAATCAGCAATAAAGAGTAATTACTACGTAAAACCAGATGAAGTGGAACCAGTTTTTAAATACTGATAATAATGGCGTTTGGAAGGGGTAAGGAAATTCAGGACAGGAAATGCGCCATGGGGCAATGCAAAATTAAAGTTCCCAGTGTTGTGATTTTAAACAAAAATTTTGGGGCGGGGGAAGCAAAAGAAAAGTAAACGCCGCTTAATGAAAGAAAATTTCGAATCTTTTCTCCCAGGCTGTTCGGGGCGGTGGCCGATAGCTTCCCGCTCCTCTGGGAGAGAGCAGTAGCCGGGTCGCCAGCGCTTCGCCCCACCGTCCCCCAGACGCGTGGCTCAGGGCAGAATTGCTGGGTTTGCCTCCTCTCCCAGATTCTCGGGTTCACARAACCTTTCAATCCAGGAAACGCCTGGATCTCAGAGCAGATTTTGCAGAAGAGGAGGTAGGGACGCAGCCAGGATCGCCGGGCGGTCTGGCCTCTGTCGCTTGTCTCCTTGTCCAGAAGGCTCCCTGGCGTGGCCGAGAGGAAAGGCATCCCCTCCCGCACCCTAACCCCAGGGCTTCAGTGGTCCCAAGTCAGCACCGCGACCGCCAGGCGCTGGCTCGGCCTCACCCCTCGCAGCAGCGACAGTCCCCACAGTCACAGCCACCCGCATTTTAACCAAAATCACAGACCCAGACCGCGAGTTGCCGCAGTGTCTAGAATGTATTCATCGATCCGAAGCGAACGCAAAACATTTTAAAAATAGTAACTTTATTGTAAATTATTTACGTCGGAAGCTCCCCACCACCACCACCCTTTTTCTTTCTTTCTTTCTTTCTTTCTTCCTTTTCTTTCCCCCCCCCCTTAGGCAAATAGTGGAGAAAATAATGAACGTTTCAAACGCGGGTAGGTGTCACTGAATCCTGGCTACTAACTTTGTTCTGAATGTTTTGGATATTTGGATGTTTTGTATTTATGTGGTGAGAGTGAAATATATATATCTATGACGATAAATAAGGTGTATTTTTTGTCTTATATTTGAAGGATAAAAACAAAAAAAAAAAAAAAGAAAGAAGATGAAAAAGAAGACCCAGCAAATTATGAGTCTCTGTGTAGGGACTCCAAAGGCCTAGGGTGGCAGCCCCTGCAGAACAGGGGCCCTGCGACTGGTACCCTGAACTCCTGGCATGAGGTCTGGGGAGCATTTGGGTTCCCAGGGAGTCAGAGACGCCTGACTACGAGGCCCTGGTCCACTTATTTGATCGTCTTGCTCTTGGCTTCTATTTGTTTCTATGGCGTGGGTCCCTTGGATTCTATCCCCTCAATCCCCCACAAGTTTCTTGGTTTATTTAGGAACTTGTCTTGGGGCAATCAAAAGTTCCTGCCTCCTAACACTGTCAGTTTCTAGAGTTTTCCAATTGCATGTGCATTTGGACTTTTGTGCAGTTATGGGGGGAACAGGCTAAATGTTCTTTTCTTCTGACTTAGAAAAAGACTGTCTGCCATCAAAGAGAAACTTTGAGAAATAAGGATACTGAAATAGATATTAATTCCTGCAAGAAGACCTCTCCCTCCATTTGGTCCTAGGACATAAGCGCTGATGCTGGATGTAGACAGAAATCTGGGGAAGCTAGTGTGGACCGCCCCGGTGCAGCGCCAGGAACCCAATACAGCAACCCAGCTCTGGACCTAGCTTGTGGCATCTGCACATCTGGGTGCATCTGCCAGCACCCCCACTTTGGAGCATCCAAAAGGAGGTTGTGGCACAGTGTGGCCAGTGAAATCCTTTAATGGGACTGGGATGCTGCTGGTTTGGGTTTTGGCTTTGAGCTGGCAATTTTGCTGAATTCAGAGCAGCCATTTCCGGAGTGTTCACTTTTGTTTGCTGCTCTTGGATCTTCCTCTCTTTCCTCTTTTCTCTCTTGAAGATGCTTCTCATTTCTACTCTTTCTACTCCTCTCCTGTAGACTCCTTTCCTTCCTCTCTAGTGGTCTGTCTCCCCCCCTCCTCCTTGCTTCTCTCCAGTGTCTCTGAGTGCTCTCTCTCTCTCTCTCTCTCTCTCTCTCTCTCTCYCTCTCTCWCWCWCWCACACACACACACACACACACACACACACACCCTTTTGGATTCTTCCTTCTCCTCCCCTGGTTGCCACAAGGCCAAGGCAGTGGGTGGCTCTGGCTGCATTTTCAAGGTTGGTGACTGGGGTCCCCCAGTGGTGAGAAAGGAGGGAGAAGATGGTATAATTTTATGGAACAAAAGAAAAACAAAATCAAGCTTTGGGTCCCCAACCAGCTCAGCCTTCTCTCTTAGGAGCCTGGGTCTGAGACCTTTCTAAGCAGATCTGTCTTTCCACCTCTCCCATTTCGCCTTGTCTTTCTTATCCCTAAAAGGGGAGTGCCCATCACCTGTCACCTCTCTGTGCACACCTCCCTTCCCTAGCTGGCTTTGGGCAGAACTGCTGAGCTCTTCATCTGCCATTCAGAAAGAGCAATTGTTCTTAAAGAGCCTCTTATGTTCAGAAAAATAATCACAATTTTAATTAAAAAACATTTGTAGACAATTCATTTAATTTTAGTACCTGACTTGTTTTGCCTCCTCCCCTAAAGGCGCCCAGAAAGCTGCCTTGGTGAGGTCGCTGGCCTCTAACTGGACACTCACAGGGCAAGGAAGAGGCAAAGGCTTCCAAAGGCTCTGCCTGGGAGGTGGGGGGGGGTGGAGCTAAAAGGAATCTCTACTCAGGCTCACACAAAGCAACATCCAAGTTGTTTCAGAGCAGAGAAGGAAGGAAATCCTCTCACTAACCCCTGTGTGTTGGTGATCAGGTGGGAAAGATGTGGGAATCACTTGAGGAGCTAAGCTGGGGCACTTGCTCATATCCATGCTTGCAGTTGTCCTAACCTTGGGTCAGAATGTATTCCTATTAAATAACATTTAGCAGCTGTCTGTGGTTTACAAATCGCATTTCACGTAGACCATTCTTTTATTCCTAATGGTGGCTTTTGGAAGTCCAACCCCATTTTGAAAATTCACATACAGGATTGGAGCAAATGGTTTGCTCAAAATCACATGGCAATTCCCAGGCACAAGATCATGAGCTCTCTATAGCTCCAGGTTCTTCCTCTTTTGGATTCTTTCTCCCTCTCTCCTTCTCTTCCCCTATTCCCTCCCTCCGTCTGTCCCTCCCTCCCTCCTCCTTCCTTCCCTCCCTGTCCATGCTGTCTCATTCATCCCACCTTTAACTTATCTGCATCCATATCTGCTAACTCCCATTTCCCAGTCTCTTTCTTCTGTGACAGCTGCTGAGTTTCACCTGGTGCCTTTATCAAGGCATGTGAATTTCTCCCGGCCAGTCTCCCACCTTGCTTCTTCACTCCCCTCAGGAACAGCTTCTTTAAACCTCTTAACCTCTTTGATCTTATACTTCCTTTAAAATAAACAAACAAACAAAAACCTTTTTTAAAAAAGTTGAGGTACAACATCCTTGCTGTAAGCTCCCTGTGATAAAGTACATGAAACATAAGCATACAAGCTGATGAATCTTCACACACATACACACTTGTTCAATGAATTCCTTTAAGCTTCTTCTACATGATGACACAGTGTCTTTTTCCGGTTTTGAAAGAGGTGGCATCTTACTGGTAGGCTGTTGTTCCATAGAAAACCTTTCCAAAAGTTTAAAAATCATGTCTCTTCCAATCCCCTGATATATTGAATTTAAGTAACTTAACTTAAATAGCTGATCAGAGGTTAAAAATTGCTAGAAGCTTTCTGAAGATTTAACCTGAAGACCAACTGCTTCAGAATCATCTGAAAACARGTTAAAAGGCAGATTCCTAAGCTTCAACTCCACTTGAGGAATCACAAGCTCTGGATTGAACTCAGAAATGTGCATTTTAAACAAGTTTCAAAGTGATTGTCATTGCACTAACAATTGAGAACCAGTGTATAAATGACAAGTCCCCAAACAGCAGCCTGCAGCCTCCAGCCTCTAGCCCAGGGCCTGGCATTTGGTAGCAGTACAACAAATGCTTGTTGAACAAATTAATTCACTTTTCTGACATGGTTTGAGTTTCTTGGACCACATCATACTATTGTAATTTAACACCACTTTTTACATTGGGAAATTCTTACATTTGGGAGTTTTTTTTTTTTTTTTAAACTGGAATATTTTTCATCTTGATGGAGCAGGAGAGGAAAGAGGGATCAACTTTGGTGGTTTCTCAGGTTTCAGGGGTCTTTTATAAATCTAACTTTGACCACTTTGCTGGGTAGGCTGCTTCCCTCCAGAGCTGGTGGTTTGGAAAGGGGGTGAGTCTACAGGTTTGCTGAAAGGCACTCAGACGCACCCCTCTCTAGGTTGGAAACTG